GATTAAAAGATACACAATCGCGAAGTATTTATATCACTTTGTTAATTTTTATTTGTCTCAATTATCCGAAAAATAGGTATCATTCACTGCGGCCGCCGAAACGATGGAGAAAATAAACCGATGGTGTAGTGACGCCACAAATCAGCTGATACCAGATTTTATTTCTTCGCCAAACGATGTCGATCCAAGGACCCGATGCTTGCTTCTTAATGCTATCCACTTTAAAGGTATGTAGACACCATTGAAGTCTTTTAAAATGTCTCAATGTCTGTGATATTTCTTAAAACTTTATACGTGCTTAAAAGGTTTTATCCTGCTATTTGTCAAGCAATCCACCGGTAAAATGAGTAGGAAGGAGCCTTCATAACATTACAAATATTCAATTATAGTTGTTCAGTGGCTGGCTTTCTAGATTTCCTTTGCATTCGGGCAATTTGCTTCACGACCATTGCGCGTGAGTACAGACGTGATGGGGATTCGCGCATAAATAATACCTAACAAATCAAGCAAGTGACAGTTTTCAAGTATTCCCTGGGCTAGGAAGGGATTGTGTGGAATATCAGTAAACTGGCCACATTGACGATCGGGCCAGACACAGAATGAATTAGGGACACTTAAAACTATTTAATCTATATGTTTACTTCAGATTCCTGGAGCTCCAAGTTCAATCCTAGTTGTACGAAATCTCAAGATTTTCATATTGATGGACAAACAAAGTTTCAATTGCCTATGATGTCTGAAGACGTTCCCGCCGTTCTCAGCGAATCCTCAGAGCTGGGTATTCGACTGCTGAAATTGAATTTGAATGTGAGTTGCGCAGGACTACTTAGAGATGACTTGCTAAAATACCAACTAATTTGATACCTGTTTGGCTGTTTAAAGAGCATGATGATTGCTTAAACTATTTCTTATCATTCCTCTAAAGTAAATTACACACTTGTAAATGTCCCTTGCTAAATTAAACTTTGATTATTTTGCAATAATTCCTGGAAATTATGTATAGGTGTCATTAGCTGGATAGAAATGACCTAGTCCAGGAAGTTGAATGTTCAAACTGGCATGCCTTTAAATTAGTTTAAAATGGCGGATGGAAAGGATTCGTAAATTCGCCTCACTGAATAGCAAACGAGGATCGCCTTGAACTTGTGCCGGTTGGCTAATTCAAAGAAGATATCGACTCGCCGTTCTGCGATCCTGATGCATCTGTGCTAAGCTTTCATCCGTCATGTAACGGATTTCCGCTACATCCATTGTATTTTGGGCCAGAGTCTTCATCGTTGCTTACAATTCATCGCAACTGCTTTAAAGATCAGTGACTTTTATCACTAGGCAACAGATAGTATAAGTTAGCGCCATGCTGTGACTATGAGCATTGCCCAATTTTATTGGCTGCACCAACCGTCACTATGGTGACGAACATAAATTACTAACCTGTTTATCCAGCCTGCAAGAAAACTTCCCTATTTCGCCATATGATTTTGCTTGAGGCGCAAACTTTATATGAAGTTAAAGTTCGTCAGGCTAATTTTGCTATTCCTCTTGAAGTACTCCTTATCCTGCACATTGTTTGGCCTCGTTCTCACATCTCGGTCAAGATGTGTTGGCTGCCTCAGACCAAAAGGTTATGGCACTGCAATAAATATGCTTAGCTTCTGACATGCACGGATTGTATGTCTACTCTCTTCCGGTCTCATAATGTTGAGGCTGACCACTCACCGCTAGGACGGTCATGAAGTTAATCAAGTAACGATCTGATTGAGCAGAAGGATACTAATACCAAAAGAATGAACAGTCATTGCAGCCAAAGCTGAAAATCGAAGCTCAATCAAGCTTATCCTACAAAAGTTTTCTGATACCATAGGGCAAGGCTACGCCATCTTGGTCCTGACATCAAGCCATAATTCAGTTTGAGCCATCCCTGTCAAGTTTTCCTAAAGGCACTTATGTCAGTTACGTTTGTATATGAACATTCGCATTGCCATGGTGTTTCTAAGCTTTCCCTACTCCTATTCGCACTAAGCTGGTATATTTTTTTGACCGAGGCAAAGGGAGATAAGAAGGAGTAGCTTATATTCATGCAACTAAACTCGCTCTTGCATATTTTTCTCAGTTGTTCAATGCCTAGACTGATCCCCTACTTAATCCTCTGACGTTTTACACTTGAGGCTTATTATCAGTAATATTATACACGGGGGTGAGAACCTGAAATTGCATTTTCTTCCATTTTCTGCAGTGCAAAAAGTTCTCCTTCGTTGTTATGCTGCCAAAGGAGCGTTTTAAATTGCCCAGTCTCGACAAGGTTTTGCATGACGGACATTACAAAAGCTTGATTGCCTCAAAAGACTTGACTCACGTCCGAGTGACTCTTCCGCGATTCGAGCTCACCTTCAAAACGGAACTGATTAAGGTATTCTCGAGCATGGGTATCAATGACCTCTTCGTCGAAAATGTGGCAGATTTGTCCGGTGAGTTTGAAGAGTATTCTAACCTTCTTGCTAACACTAGTTTCAAGTATGTTTCAGTTTGATTAACAATCACATCTCCTAAGGCCCTATTGTATTAGAGGCTAATGCATTTAAATTCCTGGC